AAACAAAGATTTCTATAATTTAAAAAAATAATGTTTGTGTGTGTGTGTGTTTTGATACGAGTTATATTTATTTAAAGATACATATGTATACACTGAAAAAAATTTATAATTAACAATTAGTAAGATTCTGATTACATCAATCAAAAATTGCGATCATTATAATTAGACATCTGGTTATCTCGATTAGAATTATAATAGATTTAACTATAAAATTCTGATTTGTCTATTTTCCACGAGAATTCCAATTAATGCAACCAGATTCTTTTTCCAATATACATATATTCTTCGATTAGCTTTAATAGCATCGTTATTGAACGAATCATTTGTACTAGAAATAATATTTTAATAAATAAGAAATTTATTAAATAAAAAATGAAACGATACAACAAACATAATTATTAGTACGTAGAGGTAGAAAACTAATGAAAATCGTAAAAAATTAATTATACGTTCTCTAACAAAAATGAGTAAATAAATCGTAAATTAATGAATAAACATTATCTAACAAAGAGAAATGTAACTATGTGCAACTTATTATCCCCATATTACAACTGAATCAAAAAGTTATTAAGTTTAATATGAAGAAAATTATGATATATAAAATATGTCATATATCTTGAATTATAATTATATACACAACACTATACATGTATCGCGTAATTTTTTTAGTACTTATATAAAGTAACAATGTGTTTTGTATTTTTTACAGGATGAAAAGAACCAAATACTTACGACCAACGCGTGGTTGAAACTGGTGAGTGCAATCAAATCTTTTTGTCTTTTCCTTGTTCAACTAATTCGTATAAGAAGAAATTGTTTATGTAATTTATTTAAAATTTTAAGGCTCGAATATTTTAAAAATCTTTAAAAGGAGATTTCATAAAAATTAGGCAACAGATATAGAACATAATGTTATTTATTTGCATGACATTTATTTTTTTGTAAAATCGTTTATTTGAAATTCTTGCTGAGTAAAAGCCTCTTTGATAAAAGTTTGTATACTTGACAGAAGAGAAAAGTACTGTAATGGATGTTATCCATTACCAATGTTTACGGCTGGTGTGTTTGTACCTGTAATGATTGTTCGGTAAAATAAATATAAGAATTAATCTTAGTCGACAAAGAGCAAGTTTCTAAGCTTTTGGAAAAGATACGTTTTCTCAATTAAGCAACTACATATACGCGAATATATTGTTACGTAAACGATAAATAGGGTTACGTGCACAGATTCTTTTGTGCATCTTCTTGTAGCTTCATGTTACGTTGGAGCAAATGACACATTGAAAATACGTCCGCGGTAATTCTCTCAGCGAAATAGCCAGTTAACAGAAAATCAATAACTACACCGGTTACTTTTCCATCGCCTGCGGTCTTCCCATTTACGAGAATGCGTTGTAATATCGCTGATAAAAAATACATCAGTCGTCGCAACGTGCATGAAAGGGAAAAAATTTAAGTGGATATATCCGGTTAGGCTTAATAATTATATTCTAAATGCAATTCGCATAAAATATAAAAAATTAACTTTTTGTAATGAAATTTTTAAGAAATATTTAATTGAGCGATTTTGTCAGAAATGTTTTATTTCATTTATGAGTCAAATTGATGACTTGTAAGTCAAATTGGAAGAATTTTATTGAAATTTTTTGTCGTGTTTGTACCTGCAGCTGCATTTATCATTTTAAAGTTCTCAAATTAATGTTTTAAAGTTTAATTTTAATTCTAATATGTTAATATTAAATAACATATTTAATTTTTATATGGTATTATGCTTAATGTAAAATACAGAAAAATACGATAGTCAACGTTATTATTTTATTTATATTAATTATAAAAACTGTACGTAAGCGGAACAATCGTTATTAATATTTTAGGATTAAATTCATGACAGTTGGAGAATTGATTTCCGCGTGCTTGCGTCACTTTTATGCATAAATAATTCGTATACGGCAGATCGATTCACAGATTCTTTCGCTATATTACCAATCGGATCGTGTGAGTGAGCAATCAGTAGATCAGAAACTCGAGAATGCAGCGGCTGCTATTGTCGTTTCGTCTTCTTATGCATTGACTGCTTCTTAGGCGAGCATCCGCGCCAGACAACCTCTCTTCTTCTTTATCTTCCTAAAAAGGTGTGCCGTATTTCCTTTGGGTGCAAAAAAAAAGGCAAAGTCACAGCATGGAAGTAAGAATGTGAGAACAGGCGGGTTAAAAGAGGGTGCTGTAGGGTAGATAAGGACGCGATAGAGGTGAGTTCGAGAAAATCGAGAAAGCAGAAAGATGCACTCTGAAATCGCGATCCCCTATTTTTCCGTCCCTTCGCTTCGCCCTTTTTCCTATACTTA